TCTTGTGTATCCTTCTAGAAATAGCCTATGTACATAAGCATAAACTTTTGTTTTTTACAATCATAAATCTTAACATACCGTAAACACTTTTCAGTGTCTTGCTTCACCATCCCCCTCAACCCCAGCAAGCACACACTTAAAAGTATGTCTTGGAGATCCTTCATGGTGGTTAGGAGCATTGGCTCTGGGGCCAGACTCTGGAACTTAAACCCTGGCCCCATTACTTACTAGCTGTAATTTTTTTCAAGTTATCTAACCTTTCTATGTCAGTTTCTGCAGCCTTAAAAAAAAATGGAAATGATAATTATATTATTTTTAGACACAAGCTGTATCTGTAAACAATTAGGACAGGCCTGGCATGTAAGTGCTCAGTAAATATTAGCTGTTGTTAATCATCATCATAACGTGCTATTTCATCCTTTTTAGTAGCTTTATAGACTATGATTCCCTACTGATGATTATCTTTCATGATTAAAGTGTTGCCATGAATTGTCTTGTCCATGTATTTTATCAGTGAGATTAGGCATGTTTTCATGGGTTTAAAAACCATTAATATTTTTGTTTCCTGTGAACAGTTCAGATACTTTGGTCATTAAGTTATTGGTCATTTCTTATTGATTATAGGAGGCTTTTTACATATTATATAAATCAGTCCTTTTTTTTTTTTTTTTTTGAGACAAGGTCGCATTCTGTTACCTAGGCTGGAGGGCAGTGGCGCAGTCATAGCTCATTGCACCCTCACTCCTAGGCTCAAGCGATCTACCTGGCTCAGCCTCCTGAGTAGCTGGGACTACTGTGCATGACCACACCTGGGTAATTTTTTTTCTTTTTTGTAGAGATGGGGTCCCACTGTGTTGCCCAGGCTGGTCTCAAACTCCTGGGCTCAAGTGATCCTCCTGCCTTGGCCTCCCAGAGTGCTGGGCTTATAGGCATGAGGCACTGTGCCCAGCCTAATCAGTCTTTTCAACAATATAATATAAAGTTTAAAATATTTTTTCTGTTTTTTGACTTCATTTTACTATTTTTTTAACCATGCAGAAAACTGTACCCCTCTTTTATAAAAGCCATATGACATGGTTTGATATCATATTTAAATAGGCTGACCTTACTTTGAGATTATAACAAAATTCTCCCACATTTTCTTCTAGTATTCTTATGATTTTAGTTTTTACACTTAAATTTTTGCTCCACCATATATTTATTATATTTTGGTGTTAGCTGGAAAATAAAGGCGTAGAGTAAGTATCCTCATCCATTCATTGTACAGTCAGCAACTTAGCTCTGTCTCTTTAAATCCCTTTTTGAAGTAGATGTGTAAATAAATAAAACTCAGCTCTTCAGAAATGATAAATTTCTCCTTGATACTTGAGGTTAAGTGGAAATATTTGGTTGATTGTTATTGAAGATATTCTCATAAAGGCAGAGAAAAATATTTTTCCCAAGAAAAATCCAGGTTAAATATGTTGAAGTAAATCAGCCAAACACTTTGAGAAATATTTAGGCAAATGCGAAAAGTATTAACCTCGAGTAGCTTAAGTTTAAGATAGATAGATTCTTTTATGATTTTATCCTCTTCTCATCCCATTTAGGTTGCGAGTTATAAGGACTCAGCATCATACAGAAGCACTCGTTGAGCATCGAAATGGCCAGGTTGTGGTTTCAGCATCCACTCGTGAATGGGCTATTAAAAAGCACCTTTATAGTACCAGAAATGTGGTGGCTTGTGAGAGTATAGGACGAGTGCTGGCAGAGAGATGCTTAGAGGCAGGAATCAACTTCATGGTCTACCAACCAACCCCTTGGGAGGCAGCCTCAGAATCGGTATTTGTGTTTTCATGTACCTATTTTAAAGATATTGTGTTAATTCTTGACATTAGATACTTATATAATATGCAGATTGCATTTACCAAGTGCTTTCCGTGTGTCAGAACCTTTGGTGAGTACTGACAGCGTTACCTCATTTAATCTTCACATCAATCCCTAGGATAAGAACTGGTATACATATTCTATACATAAATAAACAGAGGCTGAGTTGCCTGGAGTCAGTTTGTGGTGGATTTCAAATCCAGGGTCACTGATTCTGTATTCTGTGATGTCAGCCACTGTACTTAATGTTCATATGTTGATATCTTGTCCATATAATATTTTTTTTTTTTTTTTTTTTTGAGACAGAGTCTCACTGTGTTGCCCGGGCTAGAGTGCCATGGCGTCATCCTAGCTCACAGCAACCTCAAACTCCTGGGCTCAAGCGATCCTCCTGCCTCAGCCTCTGGAGTAGCTGGGACTACAGGCATGCGCCACCATGCCCGGCTCATTTTTTCTATGTATTTTTAGTTGTCCAATTAATTTCTTTCTATTTTTAGTAGAGACGGGGTCTCGCTCTTGCTCAGGCTGGTTTCGAACTGAGCTCAAACAATCCGCCCGCCTCGGCCTCCCAGAGAGCTAGGATTACAGGCGTGAGCCACCGCGCCCGGCCCATATAATTTTAAATGCTGATCCTTGACACCTCTACATGTCCTTTTTTCTTACCTATGTCAGTATTAAGATCACTGTCTGAGAAACAGTGTAGGCTGAAAAGTTAGCAAGAACAAATCAGCTTATTTCTCTGTCTCTTGGAAAGTGAACTTTTTATTTTCAGCTTACTTGTGGTGTTGACTTAATCTTTTCCTTCTTTCTGATCTTCAAAACCAGATGAAACGACTACGGAGTGCCATGACAGAAGGTGGTGTGGTTCTACAGGAACCTCGGAGAATCTATGAATAAGATAGAAACATTAATTGTTCTGAATGTGATGAAACTATCAGCTGCTACAGCCACCAGAAGAATATCTGGAAGAACAACCAGCTTGGAAGTTTATAGCAATAATGTCACGGTGGAATATTATTTGTAGTTAAGGTCATAACCCCTTCTCCTTGTGTGTGTGTGTTTTTTAATCAAGGGCTAAATTATTCCCCTCTGTTGGACATGAGAGAAGTATCTAAGAAAAGCAGTCGCCAATTATAATGAACTTTGAAAGATAAATTAAAAGTTGTTTATCAGTTATAAAATAAAGGCATATTATGAACTCTTATTTTCTGGTGATACCAAATTTTCTTTGCCTTCGAGCTCACTGTGGCAAGAGTACACACAAGGTTTATGTAGAGCACTTATTAGCATGTTTGGCTCATGGTTAGTGATCCCAAAAAATGACAGTTTGCTACTCAGGGTGTTGGGGGTATTTTTTTTAAATAGGAAACGGCAATTATCAGTCTAAGCTTATTATAAACAGTATGTGAAGGTAAAAAGAGGCAAATGCTAACCTCACCTGGGCTCCTGGTTCCCATCATAGAAACAAATTTGAAAGAAGAATGGTGTGCCATGAGTGACATGGCCCAACCTCAGACCGAGGAATGAACACAGAGACATAAAGACGCAGACACATGACTGCAACCCATACAAAAAGACACAGACACCACAAGACAGTATGAGGCTGCAGCAAAAAACTTTTGCTGGAGCTGCTTTATTTATAACATCGTCTGTTTGGCAACTGTCCCACTGTAATTTCTTTGTTCCCACACCATCCCGACTCAACACGTCTCTGTTCCTTGTTTCCTCTCCGGCGAGCAGATGTTTGCATCTAAACTCTCCAGCCCCTCCTGTTTGCAGGGTGAGGGCGCTCTGGACTTGCGTGCAAGGCCACAGACATGTTCTTGAGAAGAACAACAAGGAATCGTTCCCAGGCACAGGTGTCCTCTACACATGAGTAACTGAAATCAAAAGTGGAAACGGACAGGGTGAGCGTGTGCTCAACTTGCGATGATGTGAACATTTATTAGGTAGGAGATGAAGCTTGAAGTCCATGCAAGCTAATCTAAAATTGGAGCCTGGGTTGATGGGAACCATGGCAATTCTCAGAAATGAGTTGATTAAATCAAAGAAAGGTGTTAACTTTCTGGCTACTTGATAGGTATGAGAAGGAAGAACCTGTAAGCAGTTAAGAGCATTATCTTCCAAATTTTTAAATGTATATCCCAATTATACATCTATTTAGAAGTAAAATATGTTACCACTGCCAATTTGGGTATTCAATATGTTATTTTAAAAAGACAAATCTGTATGCATCAACATTTTTTTACAGTATCATTGGTTCTTAGAGGGCTTCAGAATCCAGGGGCTTAATAGCCCCCTTTTGATCAATAAATATCCCAGTGAAGACATTTGAAAGTGTGTAGTTCTAATATTTTCTTCCTTCACTTTAAGGATTAATTAGAGCACCTTAACTTCAAGGACCAACGTTCTAGGAGGCTGTTGAAATGGAAGTCTGGAATTCAAGGGAGGACACTATAAGGAAGACCAGGGACTAGTGGCTTTGGAAACTGACAGTAACAAAAATTGGGTTCACCTGTGAAGGATGCTGTAGGCAGGGATTTCTGCAAGGAGTAGAAGTGCACTGGATAATCTCTGGGCACCAAGGATTCCTTTAAGGGGCAATTGTTGAGGCTTTGTGTGGGAAGTTTGATACAAGGTGTCAAGACAGTGGTGAGGTGGAGGAAGTGAGGAAAAAGATGTGGGGGGCGCAGTAGGGGAAGGTGGGAAGACACCAATATTGGCATTGACAAGTTGCGAAGAGGTGATGTTTTAAAAAAGGATGAGCGGCAGCTACAGTACCTGCCTATTGCAATTCCTCCAGGCCAGGTGCTGCTCCTGCCCTGCTCATCCTTTTCCAGGTTGTTCTTGCTCCTGCTATCCTACCATGTCACTTACATTCTACTCTAGGTCCATGTAAATGACATTCTCATCCTAAGCAGTGCAAAGAAATCGCTTAAGAGCAAGGTTGATTGCAAGCAACATTCACCTTTGCAGCAAGTTGAACAATCAAAACACCCGCGGGCAGGTGTGGCCGCTGCCAGCTGCCCCAAGTGGAGGAGGGGGCGCGTGGGCCAGGAACGCGTGGGACGGGGGCGGATGGCCGGTTTCCACGCGCGCGAGCCCTTTAAGGCCGGGGCGGCGCGGCGGAAGCGCGTGGGTAGCACGTGGCCGCACTGGGCGTCCTCGCCCGAGCTGCGTGGCCATGGACGTGGGCGCCGATGAGTTCGAGCAGAGCCTTCCTCTGCTGCAGGAGCTCGTACTGGACGCCGACTTTGTGGGTGAGGCGCCTGGGATTCCGGCCTTGCCCGAGCGAGCCTGGGTGGGGGGTGGCGGCAGACGGTCGCCAGGCCACAGGGGCTCGGAGAGGGCCCCTCGGGAAGGACTGGGGGATTCCCACTTGGGCCCACGGGCGGTGGGACGTTAAGCAGCAATTACACCCTGAGCTCCGCGTGCCATGTTGGCCAGAGCTCCGCTGCGGTCCAGGTACAGCTGGGACGGCCTGGCTGGTTGCGTTGGCTTTCTCCATTTTTCCCTTCTAGACCTCACTTGGTTTCTGGAGCACAGCTTGGCCACCTGCAGACCTTACAGTGTAAGGACTGGCGGCTGTGTTCTGCGCCTGGGGACTCTTGTCTTTTTTGCCTTCCCCTTAGGTCTGGACATAGAGTTCACTGGCCTTCGTTCTAACCTGACTGGGCCGCAGCAGATCAGGTAAAGCCAAAGTGGTCTTAGAGCCAGGCCAGCATTGTTTCTCAGCAGGCACCCTGTTGGCATTTGGGGGGGCAGGATGAGATTTATGTGGATTGCTTCCACGTGGGAGGGGGCGAGCTGGCTTTTGTCCACCGAATGCAGTGGTGTTCCCTAGTTGTTGCAACAAGGGGAAAATGCTGCCTCTGATTGAGATAGGCTGATTCTGGTGCCTGGGTCCCATCTCCTCATCCATAGAACGAGATGCCTGTTTTTTCACAGTCTTTTTGATTTGCCATCGGAGTGGTATCTAAAGACCCGTCAGAGTGTTCAGCAATTTACAATCTGTCAGATTGGTGAGTTTAATATTGAGCTGTTTGTTATGAATTATTCAAGAAGGTATTTTTATCTGTGTGTTTCCTACTGGTTGAGACAGCTTCGAGCTTTTTCCAAAGATACTAGGTATCATCTTGTATGCTTGTTTTGTTTTTGACTGTATTATGCCTATGGGATCAACACTTTGGAGCAAGCAGAATATTTAGTATTGTTTCTGTGCCTAAATAAATCAGTGTTAAGGAACAATTGCTGTTATCTGTTCTGTCTCTCAAGTAAAAATATGTGTGTGTTTTTTTTTTTTTTTAAAGAAAACTTACACAAAAAATTATGGTTTTTTTTTTTCACTTGATGGGGTTTAGAGATCTTTCTTTAGCAGCTCATACAGATCAATTCAGTTTTAACAGCTGCATAGTATTCCAAACTATGAACGTATCTAGTAACTTAGTCTCCTAACAATGAATACTTCGGTTAGCATTTGTGTCCAAACAAGTTTGCATTGACCATCCTGGAATTTATATATTATTACTGTCCTTTTTGAGTACAACCATCTGGGATACTTACAGTAGTGGAATTGCAGAGTTAGAAAGTATGTGTATTATTCTCCAAGGGCAGTTAAAAGGAAAATATAAAGAAAAATAAAAGAAAGTGTGTGTGTTAAAGTATTGATGTATATTGCTAAATTACTCCTCTTCCTACCAACCACCCACAAAGTTTAAAGTGATTTACACCAACTACAGTGAATGTGCTTGTTTCCCTCACTAACACTGGGTACTATCAGTCTTTAAGTGATTGTCCTCCTAGCAAAAGAAAAGTGATCTAATTGTTCTGATTTACTGTTTTTTGGGTTTTTTTTCTTAGTAGAGATGGGGTCTCGCTCTTGCTCAGGCTGGTCTTGAACTCTTGAGCTCAAGTGATCCTCCTGCCTTAGCCTCCCAGAGTGCTAGGATTACAGGCATGAGCCGCCACGCCCGGCCCTGATTTACTTTTTTTAATATGAGGGTCAACAGACCTTTTCTATAAAGGGCTAGATACAGATATTTCAGGTTTTGCAGGCAATGTGGTTTCTGTTAAAACTACTCAATCCTGCCCTTGAAACTTGAAATCGGCCATAGATAATACATAAACAAATGAGCATGGCTGTATTCCAGTGAAATGTTATTTACAGAAACAGACCCTGGGCCGAATTTTACTGACCCATACTTTTACTATGAATGGCGTATGTGTGTTTTGTGTGTCTGTTTATGTGTGTTTCCTCTCCTGTTTTTTTGTTTGTTTTGCTATTTTTCTGTTGTGGTTGACTTTTGGTGGTGGATTTTTTTTTTTTTTTTTTAATTATAGGACCTCTTTCAAAAGTATGGGAAATAGCTCTTAGTTATGTTTCTATTGTACTACCCCAATTTGAAGTCTTTTTACTCTGCATATGATTTATTTTTTTTTTTTTTTGGCAAAACACATTTTAAAGCAGTTAAATTTATAAATCTTTGTGGTTTTTGGTGCCTCTGATTTTAAAACTATGAAAATGTCAATTTAATATTCTGTGTTTGAAGAACAGGACACAATTACATTTTGTAATAGTAATTTCAGTGTGAATTACAATTTGAAAGTTCTTGTGCTTCTGGTCTGGTTTTTTTTTTTTCTTTTATCAATAAAGATGTTTAGGCCGGGCTCACGCCTGTAATCCCAGCACTCTGGGAGGCCGAGGCGGGAGGATCGTTTGAGGTCAGGAGTTCGAGAGCAGCCTGAGCAAGAGTGAGACCCCGTCTCTACTAAAAATAGAAAGAAATTATCTGGACAACTAAAAATATATGGAAAAAATTAGCTGGGCATGGTGGCACATGCCTGTAGTCCCAGCTACTCAGGAGGCTGAGGCAGGAGGATCGCTTGAGTCCAGGAGTTTGAGGTTGCTGTGAGCTAGGCTGACGCCACAGCACTCTAGCCCAGGCAACAGAGCAAGACTCTTGTCTCAAAAAAAAAAAATATATATATATATGTTTACTGTTCCTCAGCCCACACAGTATCTCTGGATACAAAGCACGGTTCGAAATGTTTTGTCTCTGTAGTTAACTTCAGGTAGCTTTTCTTTGGTATTCATTCCATCTGCCGTCATTCTTCTAGGATTGTCTGTGTTCTCCAGCATCGAAAGAGAGTCGAACAAGTATGTATAAAGAGCTTTTGCAAAACCTATGGCTCTTTCTCACCTGTGTTCCGCAACTGCCCCCTTCAGATTGTGCCTGGGGCGTCCCAGTCACTTTTGCCTCGCGTGCTCCGAGCTCTCACTTATATCTGCTTTTCCGCCTGCTCTGGCCTCTGCAGACTGCAGCTTACCCTTCACGTCTGTGTGGTAGCAGTATCGTTCCTGAGGGGCTTTCCTGCCAGTGCTGCTCTGTACCTCAAGTGCTGCTTTCCCCGTTTCCGTTGCCTCTGTGCGTACCTGTGTTAAAGCAGTGAATACAGTGTGGCGCATGACAGTGGTGTTCAAACTACATGGTAGCTCACAGGCACCCGCAGTCAGAAAGGATGGCTCACCTATGGTGTGGCAATGACTGGCACACCTATGAATAGTTGAGGCTGCCGAACTGGACATCCTGACCCGGCAACAGCCCAGAGGGCTTGTGGAGGGAGGGCCTGTCTCTGCAGTAGATCCAGTTCCCTAAGGGCGGGAGCTCTGCCTTTTTCCTTTGGCGCCCAGTGCCAGTCCTGGTACCTGAAACTCGGCAGATGCTCAGATACCTCTTACCTGAGAGAGCTCACCCTGAAGTCTGCTCTGTGAGCCAGTGTTTTTAAAAAGGTCTTGGCTTTTTCTTCTTATGTCTCTTTTTTCATAGGTATGTAGCCCATTCGTGCAACTTCTTTCTCTTTCCTACAACATTTGGGATTTTGGATTCAGAATTCTCTTTCCAGGCTTCTAGTGTTCAGTTTTTGAATCACTATGGCTTCAACTACAACAAGGTATGGCATCGAGGAGGGAAATGGGAATGTCTTAAATGTGATCCAGTCTAAGAGGCCTGTGTAGCCCATTCCTTCCCCTTCCTCACTTGTCCACATGAGACAGGAAGGTTTCTCTTCCCTCTGCTGCCTGGCACAGAGGATACCTCTGACTAGGCTCTCGTTCTGTTTCTGTCCTTAGTTTCTCAAAAACGGAATCCCATATATGAATGAAGAACAGGAGAAGAAAATTAAGCACAACATTCTGTGCGGGAACTGGAAAGTCCGCAGGTGTGGCCTTTTCTCCAAGAGGTTTTGGGTTTCTTTGCTGTTTTCTCTGCATTTCCACGGGTGGGTGTTCTGTTTCCAGAGTGTGGTGACCTCACCATCCACATTTAGCTGGGGTGGCTTCAGATGCCTGTGCTTGGCCGGACAAGACAGCCCGCGGTGCTGCTCTGCCTGGCCTGAGCTGAGCATGCCCTTCCGTCTCCTCCACCCCTTTCAGCTCCCGTGCAAACCTCACCGCATCGAGTGTGATCTTAATGTTTAAAAACAAAAAAAGAAAGTCTTAATTTGGTACCCAAATGGGAATTCCATTCTAGCGCTAGAGGGGAAAAATTGCTTTGTTGGACTTGCTGTGAGGCGTTGGTCCCCAGTGTGATCCTGAGGCATTTTTCAAGGGTACCTCACAGGTAGCCTTGACTGTGCCAGTCATGCTGGGCACTGACTCGAGACTTTAGCCTTGGTTTCGCCGTGTCTGCCCGGCATGCACGAGACTTGCCTGCGCTCCCCAAGGGCAGGATCTTTGCCTCTTGTGCCAGTCCTAGGCCCTGCACCCTCACGTTCCCATAGAGCTGAGATCAGGGGTGACCGGAGTGCGAGCGGCAGCATTGTGGGTCGACCGAGCTGGTGGCCATGGAGCCGGTGCCGTTGCCTGGAGCCCAGCGCTATTAGCTAGTTGTTGGTTCGAACAAATCATTTAAGCTCTTCAGGCTTTAGATTCTTTGCCTTTATCAGGAAGGGGATTAAATTAGACAGCTTTTAACTCCGAAAAGTAGTGATTGATTATCTGGTCTAAATAATTATCTTACGTCATGTTGGAGGGGTTTTTGGGTTGGGGTTTTTTTTGTATTCTTGGTGCTGGTTTTCATATAAAAATTTAGCTTTTTGATAAGGGAAAAATGAAATTTTGATTTTTAACCTTCTGTTAGTTTCAAATATTAGAGAAGGTCTTATCTCAAAATAACATTATATTCTTATTTCTAACACAGGAGAATGTGTTTACCAAAGTCCCTGTCTTTTCCTTATTTTCCCAGATAGTTCTCTGTCATCTCTGAAAACTTAATAAAGAAGCAGGTTCTGATAGTAATGCTTAGTATTTATTAGATACCAATATCTCCTCTTCCACGCATCCCAGAGACAAAGAAAGGGATGGAATGTATTCCCGTGAGCCTACGGAAGCATGTAGGCCAATTGTTTGGCTTCCTATTGCATGAAAAGACTAGGAGGATAAATGGTCTTTGCTGCATTTTCTTCATGAGATTACAGTATTAAAACCAGGAGCCTGGCCGGGCACGGTGGCTCACGCCTGTAATCCTAGCACTCTGGGAGGCCGAGACGGGTGGATCGCTCAAGGTCAGGAGTTCAAGACCAGCCTGAGCAAGAGCGAGACCCCGTCTGTACTAAAAACAGAAAAATTAGCTGGGTGTGGTGGTTCATGCCTATAGTCCCAGCTACTCGGGAGGCTGAGGCAGAAGGATCGCTTGAGCCCAGGAGTTTGAGGTTGCTGTGAGCTAGGCTGATGCCATGGCACTCTATCCTGGGCAACAGAGCCAGACTCTGTCTCAAAACAAAAAAAAAAAAAACCAGGAGCCTCAGAAACCACTCGTGTTAACATCGTCTTGGGGTTCTGGTGTGGCTTCCTCCAACATTTCCGCTTTTGTGTGCCTATCTTTTAGCTCTCCAGATAAAGACCAAATCAAGGTGGTAATTGATGAAGTGACGCGGTGGCTGGACCTGGCCGAGGAAGGAGAATGGATGACTCTTCCGGGTATCACTGGTAGGCAGGAGGCTGCTCCTCTCGACCTGGGAGCATCGGGACAAGTCACTGTCATGTGCCACCCTCTCTTTCCCATGGATCCTCATCCCAAATGCGTCATGACTGAATCTGATGCAGCATTTGTTCAGTAGATACGTGGTCTTGTGATTAGATAAAACTCTGACCTGAATCCAAAAGTTGAGGACTTTTCAACCCACTTTGAATTTCAAGGCCGCGGAGGTCAAGTTACATTCATGAGCTATCCTTTTGATGGCATGAGCTCGAGTGCCCTGTGTACTCCTATTTTATTGACTTCTGTTAATCAGAGTTTTCTCCCCCTATAGTGCAGTGTAGAACCATGGTGAACATGCCCTAGCTTAGCAGTTCCCAGAGCCTGGTCTGTGGATCCCGGGAGTCTGAGACCCTTCCTAAGGGGTCCATAAGGTCAAAACTATTTTCAGAATATCACTCAGCTGTCACGTGCTGTTGTCATTGTGCCATCTGTACTGGTGCTAAAGCAATGGTGGGCAAACCTGCTGGCACCTCAGCACAAATTAAGGCAGGGGCACCAAACTGTGCTGGCAGTAGTCATTGTATTTGCTACCACTTGCTCTCAGTTCAAAGAAGGCCAGCTTTACTTAAGGATTTCCTTGGCGAAGAAGTATTAGTTTTATTAAATCTCAGCCTTTGGTTGCTCATCTTTTTTTTTTTTTTTTTTGAGACAGAGTCTCACTCTGTTGCCTGGGCTAGAGTGAGTGCCGTGGCAGGTGGTGCCCTGCTGCTGGCTCACAGGCTTGGGCATCCCTGAGAACTGCCTTTCCAATTGACCTATCTACCCCTTAGCTTCTGTTGAGGGAAGTGCAGTGCCATTCCAGGTCTGTGTGTGCCTTGTGTTTCCTTGCCACAGGGTTCCAGGCCTTCGAGGTCGAGCTGGTGCTGAGGCAGGCCCTCCCCAACATCTGGACGGTGCTGAAAGAGGAAGGGGTGAGTTCTCACCTGAGAATGGGGCGTTAGTCACTCCATTATTTCTCTCTCATTCTCCTGAATCTGGCCTCTTTGAAAGACTGCTTTCTCCCTTGCACTCTTTTCTTCCCAGCTTGCTTTTGTTTTGAGATGAAGAGCCAGTTCATTAAGCTTTGTTCCCAGTAACCCAGGATCTAAGGAACTTGCCTCTACTCTTTGCTTTTTTGCTTTTTCTTTTTTTAAACAAGACTATAGCTTACAATACTTTTCATTTCAGGTGATAGTGAAGAAAGTGAGTAAACAGCATCGCTGGTACCTTGACAACACCTCTTGTGATAGAGTGAGCTGTTGGAGGGAGAAGATTCTTTTCTCTGCGAAGGGTTTTTCTGTGTTTTTCCAAATGCTGGTGAAGGCCCAGAAGGTAGGAAAAAATATTTCTTTTCTTGGCCTATAGGCAGTATTTTGTATTTCTGGTCATAGATAAAGGATCCTTCAACAACAAAATTAGATTCCTCAAGTGATTTCTTCTCATTTATAATTGGTTTAGTGGATCTAACCTTGCTTTCACCAAATCATGATAGATTAATTTGGGAATGACTATTCATAGGAAACAGTACTATTTCTTTGTCCTTTTCAGTAACACAGGAATTTCAATACTAATTGACCTAAAATTACTCGGGGGTGGGGTGAAGAACTGCATGTGTCTGCTTCAGTTTAGTTTCCCAGAGTGGACTGTGCCTTAAGTTCCTCCTACTTGTTTTTTTATTTCGCATTTAAGCAGTTGAGCTACCTTTCATGGGGGTGGAATGAGGGTTAGGATGGAATTATCCAGTTGACCAGAATTGTAATGGGTTCTAAAGCTACATCCTTTGCAAGAAACTACTAGTCTGTGGTGTCTGTCTTTATTTTTTAAAATTTCACTTCTCTCACCTGTTGATTTACTCCAAGTAGCCCTTAGTGGGACATAATATGATGATGGATCTGCTACATCTCCACGAGAAGTTCTACAGACCTCTCCCAGGTAGGGGCACACCTGTCATTCTCCTTCCTCTCATCTTGATGTGCCATCTGGTGAACGGATTGGTCCGGAAACGTGCCCCTGAGGTAGCCCCTAAGATGCACGTTCCTCCCCAGCATCGGCAGGTCTCTGGAGGGGTCAGACAGGCCTGTCCTCCAATCTGCGTCTGCTTCGTCTTCCCAGAGTAGAAGACCAGGACACTTTGCCAAGGCAGAAGAACAAACTTGGATGGATACCCCTCCCCTCCACTGAAGTTGTTCAGGCTCATTTTATAAAACTTGGCAAAACCTGAAATGTGTGAAAGAGAAAGTCACCTTCGAGCTATACTCGTAGTGGTTTTGCTTTTTTTTTTTTTTTTTTTGAGTTTTTACATATTTGATCACACTATATATTTTTATTTTTATGTTTGGCTTTTTTTTTATTTTCCCACAGCATTATTTTATGTCATTAATAACCTAATGAATGTCATTTTAATGTATGATACCATCTTATGGCTGTACCCTGCTTTTTCATGGCTGATTCAGCTGTTGGACACACAGGGGTGCAGCATAGTGGTTAAAGCCAGCATTCCAGCCAGGTGGCTTCCTCGTCTCCCCTTGCTGTGTGTGTCATCTCCAGCAAGTGACATTACCCCACCTCACCCGTAAGAAGGGGATAATAGTACCACTATCAGAGTGGTGAGGCTAAATGAATTAATAAACGTACAGACATCAGTAGTCTAGAATAAAGGGGGTTAAGAAAGTTTTAGGAGCAATTTTCCCCATGAAATGTTAAAACACTTGAGTTTGAGGCAGAGCATTGGGGTAAAACTAATAATACACACTCACCAAAAAAACAAAACAACAGCAAAACAAAATAATCAATGGGAGAACAAAAGGAAAAGTCCTTGTAGTGTCACAGAGCCCTCTTGTGGATGGTGTGCGTGTGGCTGTGATGCTGGAGGTGGACGGAGGGCCATTACCCAGCTGGCAGGAGGTCCACAGTGAAGTACCTAAAAGCACCGAGTGCACAGGCTAGATCTGGAATTAAATACCAAGAGGAAAAGAATGGAGAACAGTTGCCTTTGGAGAATAGGAAACGGAAGGGTAGTGGGAAGAGGATTGCAGATGTCCCCCCCCCCCCCCCGAGTGTGTGTTTTGTAATAAACCTCTTTATATGCAGGTGTAACTTTGATAAATTCACCAACTAATAGTTATTTCTAAAATTTCTTTTATCAGGGTACTTTTATAATAATTTAGTTGATTTTTTTTCCTTGTATTTTTCTCTGCACAGTCATTTACAAATGACTTCATGCCTGCCTTGCCAATACTACCTCCATTCTTATCCCCTTGGCTAGAGCTTCGAAAACGACATTAACTAATGTTGGCAACAGAAAACATCCTGAATTTAATGGAAAACCATTTGGCCTTTACTGTTAAAAGCGGTGTTGGCAGGTTGGTTTGAAATTAGAATTCCTTAATGGCTGGGATTTTTTTTCAATCCCTATTTTGTTCTAGTTTGCTTTATTTATCAGTGTTGGTTAGGGAATGTTCCTTTCCGTTTTTACAAACTAACTTTTGACTATTTGTGTCTTTCCTCTCAGAAAGCTACGATCAATTTAAGCAGAACATCCACAGCCTATTTCCCGTTATCATTGACACCAAGAACGTAACAAAGGATATCTGGAAGGTATGGAATGGCATTGCTTTGGGTTAAGGACTGCTTTGTCCATACCAGTAGCACTTAGCTTTCTCTTGTGGTTTTTTTTTTGTTGGTGGTCGTTGTTTGTTTTTTATTGTTGAACCCTTTTCTCTTCTTTTTTTTTTTTTTTTTTAACCAGTCAAATTTAGCAGTGGGGGGTTGAGTACCAACTTTAGTGACACTAATGTTAATAAGTTCCGATAACCCACTACCATCAGACCAGCCCCTTTTCTCTTCTAAAAACCAGTATCAGTTTCCTTTTATATTTCGGGTCATTGTATTAGCTAATTTTTTTCTCTCATTCAAGTCCCTATGTTTTGATTTGTATATAGCCCATGTGCTTATTTAGATCATACAAAAGAACAATTTATTTTAGAGCTCGATACATACCTGGTAAGTATTTGCAACATGCATAACGAGCACCAGGGTAGGGAGGATCCCCTGTTGAAAATCTTTACTGAGGTGGGTTCCCGACCCTGACAGCACGTTAGGGTCACTCAACAGCCGGGCTAAATCCCAACAGCCGGGCCCCACTGGCAGCATCTGCTCTGATCCAGAGCCAGGCATGTGAATTTCTAGAGCTCCCCAGGAGGTTCGTTGTATAGTCTGGGCTATTCCCTCCACGTGGAGAAGGGAAGGACCCAACTGGTCTAAGTGCTGCTTAGAAATTGAACTGAGGAAGGGGAGAAAGGAGAATCAGATCAATGCTGTAGAGCCTCAGGCAATCACTTAGAGCAATTACTCAAGAAGGGAGGCAGAAATGGGGATGGGTTACTTGGTACATCTCTGCCCAGACAGGCTCTTACTATTTGTACTTCACGAGTTTCTAGCTTCTGTGAACTCTTGGGATTTAGTAACCTGGCATTGTCCCCACAGCCCTCTGGTCCTTAGAATGCCTATACTCTGCGTGTGTCCTTGGCTCCTGTCCTTCGATTCCTGTTTATAGAATCCCTTGAACACGTGTCCTCTAAGGGAGACGCTGCATGTGGGTTTGAGTGCAGTGTTTTTTCCCTAGCCTGGATTATCGGGAGCCCCTCTAGGAAACCCAAGGGTATGAAGTGCCCCGACATTGTCATTAAGGAATAAGGACAGTTACACTGTCTCTGAAGAGAAAGAGGAGGTTGGAATTAGCATTTTCAGGTCATTTTAATGGCTATTTGGTAACACCTGAAGCACAGAATAAATAAAAGCACAGATGTTTTACTCTCCCTGACTTGTTTTCCATAATTGTAGGAAATGAATTTCCCAAGGGTTTCCAACCTTTCAGAAGTGTATGAAGTCCTGAACAGGTAAGGAGGTGTTTCCCGCAACATGGTCTGTAGCTGCAGCGGCCTCCCGTGCGTGCACCAGGGCTGCGGGTCCCGCTGGGTGCCCTCCCCGTTGACTTGGGCCCCGATGTCTCCTCTGGCTCCTCACGCTGCTTCACCTGCTTTCTCAGATGGCGCTCTTGGCCTCCACTTCCAAGAAAAAGTAGGAGGCTAGAGGCAAGAAATCTCTCAGCCCCCCAACAGTCTTGCCGTTACTGTCCCCTTTTGTTCCTCTCACTTAACAAGCCCACACACCTCTGTAACTCTCCACTGCCGCTGAGTTTGTTCTTCTTTGCAGCAGGTCTCCTTGGAGGCCTCCCTCTGCACGCAGCCTGCTGTGGTCTGGACTTGGTCCCCTTCACGCGTTGCCCCCCAGCGTTACCCAGTTGTGTGGCCTCTGAACAGGCGTGTGAACGAAGCGTCGCGTGCAGGCGCAGACCTGTGCAGATGTTCTCACCCTTGGCCTCTGTCTCCTCCCTTGTCCTGTGTCGTGCCCCCTCCTGGATTTCTCTCATTTCTGCTGTGTGTGGTTTTTAATCCCTCCCTTGTGGTTCTTGTTCCTCTGCTCGTCTCAAGTTTCTTACGCAGGGTCCCTCCTCAGTCCCCGTCTTGTCACCGTGTCCCGGGTGGCCTCATCCACACCTGGGCTTTAGCTGCCGCTGCTGTGCGCAGCCGCAGTCCAGGGCTCTGCAGCGCTAGGATGCTCCGTTTACCGGCTGTCTTTTCAGTCTTCTACCCTACGTGATCACAGGCACCCTCAACTGGAGGTTTGTCTTTGTCCCTCGCACCCACTCTGGTGCCTGGAAAGTCTAGAACGTCTTCATGGAGCCAGGCGCGACACCGGAACCTGGTTTTCTTTTGTTGTAAATGCACAGGCTCTGATTCGAGGCTTCCTGGGTTTAAGTCCCAGCTTTGCCACTCACAGGCTTTGTGAGTGACCTTAAGAGAATTAATCTCTCTGTGCCTCAGTTTCACCATCTTTGAAATGAGACAATAATGTGCAACTCACCAGGTTTTCGTGAGGATTAAACACATTCGTCGTGTGGCAGGACTTGGGACTGTGCCCTGTTAAGTGTCGGTGGCCATCGTTGACCCCTCTCCCAATCCTAACAGCCGTTGCATGGCAGGGGCATGATTAGCATGCTTGCTTTCCAAGTGAGAAAATTAGGGGTCGGAGAAGTTAAACACAGGAGGCTCTAAAAGATTTTGTTGGAAAACAGGTAAAAATCAAAGCTTTGCTTGTTAGATGCCACCGCCATTCACCCGAGTCCCGGACCCATGACCTGGAAGTGGTCCCGGAGCTGAGTTGACGGCATCTGTGTGGTTGAGTCCTGTTGATTTTACTCTTTAAAATCTCTTCCTCTCTTTGCGTCCTTGGGATCGTTGCCTGTGTTCAGCCTTTATATTTCATTCCAGCGTGGCAGCAGCTCCTTCCTTGTGGCCTGTCTCTCTCCGTTCCCCACGCTGCCCCTGAGTGACGACTTAAAATGTGAATTCCACTGGGCTGTTTTTCTGGCCAAAGTCCTCCCGTGGCTCCCGAGGCCCCCACCTACCACAGGGGCTCCTGGCCGGCAGCCCTGCCCTCCACACGGGGCCTCCAGCCACACTTCTCACAAGGGCCCGGAGTCAGACCTGGCTTCCCTCGCTGTCTCTCCCCGAAGTGCCTGGCGTGACCCCGTCCCTTCAGCTGAGTCGGTTCCTGTGGTTCACCTGCTTCAGGAACCCTGCCTTCCCCCTGCATGCAGGACCCGGGTGTGCTCTTCACGCCTCAGGTGTTGCATTTACAGGTCGCAGGCTTAAGTCTCTGCACTTGTCACTCAGGCCACTAGACAGCGAGCTCCGGAGGGCAGAAATGGTGTCTTGCTTGTCTTGGGGCTTTGAATGCCCAGCGTGCTCCAGCTGGAGCCACCAGGACCTCATCTTCCCATGCCTAGATTTGCGCCTCTTACACATATATCCTCATTCCATGTTTTTTTAAATTATGTTAATTTAAGGGACTGAGGGAAGAGCAAGAAGAGATTATTTTCAGTGAATTGTTCTTTATCCTGTTTTTCTTCTCTAACAGTGACTTGAATCCCACCAAGAATTCCGAACCAGAGATTATTCACTCACATGAGTGTGAAAAATACGGTATGTTTCCTGGAGCCCGGGCTCCTGGCACGCGTGGCAGAGCACGGAGTGCACAGCCGGGGCTCTTCCTGGCCCTGGCCTCCACTTGGCAGGGGAGGGGAGATTTGTGCAGGTTTTTCCCTCATATGAGTGCTGCCCAGGACAAGTGAGCCCGGGATGCATCCCGGGGGGCTGTCCCTTTCCTCCTTGCTGTGCTGGTTGGTCTGCCAGGCAGCTCTGAGCCCTCGGTTTCCCCAGCGAGGGGAGATCCACGGTGAAGATGCTGTGTGAGTGGGACAGTTGGAGGCTGTCTGGGCCACAGCTGCCGTGGGGTGGGGGTGGCGCCGGGGGTACTTCCTTTCCCAGGCTGTGTTTCTAATGGCTGCTCGGTACTCTCCACTTGGGGAAAAATGCTTCAGTCGAGACAAAGTACCCCCACGAAGCTGCGTATGATGCCTTCCTTTGCGGATCAGGTAAGAGTTGCTGTTTTCTTAAAGGAAACTCTTTTTTGTTGGTGGTAAGCCCCTGCCATCCCTAGGTTCTCCATGTATTTCCAGATAGGTTGCACATAATGGAAATAAAGCATAAGCTTGCATATTTTGCTAAGGTCTGTTACATTTCTAGCTTTTTTTCCCCCCCAGTTCTTTTGAAAGTGGCACACTTGCTCCTAGAGAGGGTGCACGGGTAAGTGTTCTTTCCTTTCATCCTGTTGGTCAGTCAGTGGTCAGGACTTACCAAGCCCTTGCTATAAGTCAAGACCTCCCAGTCCCGGGGCCCTACCAGAGGGAAAATAGAGAATGTCACTGGTGTAGCTGTCTCATCCCTCACTGGGCAGCAGCCACCATGGCGGCTGCAGACAGATGGGTTCCCCCATAGGAGGAGCCCTTTCTTACCACCCCTGCCTCTTGCCTTGGGAACTGGGGGTCCTGGTCCCCTTGCCCCCTCTCTCAGCATTGGGTGAATTTACATATGTAAGGAGACTAAGACAGTTGGGGTTAGGCTTAGGTTCTGATATGTTCCTCAGTTCTTTCCAGCCTGGTGTGTTTGGTCTATTTTTCACTCGTAGTCTTATAACCATGTAAATAACAGTGAGGTAGAAAGATAGAGCATTCAGGTCAGTGGCTCAAGCGATCCTCCTGCCTCAGCCTCCCTCGTTGCTGGGACTACAGGCGCACACCACCACACCTGGCTAATTTTTCTATTTTTGGTAGAGACGGGGCCTCACTGTTGCTCAGGCTGGTCTCAAACTCATGACCTCAAGCGATCCTCCCGCCTTGGCCTCCCAGAGTGCTAGGATTACAGGCACTGTAATCACTGTGCCTGGCCTGAGATAGAATCTTAAATGCATTTCCTCATGACACCATCCTTGATGCCTGCCACACTGGGCACACAGGCACCAGAAACTTGCCTGAAGTGTGCATTCTACGGCACCATCCTCGATGTGCACGTTTGTTAAATGGGATTTAGCAGGCCAGGTGAGGGAGTGAATCAAAACTGTAATGTGTTCTCTGAAAATGATTTAGAAACATTAAACACTGCTAACTTGGGTACTGCTCTATCTGTCCATCTTAGCGATACATATTATAAATACAAGTATATAGCTTGAGAAACCTTCCAGCGGATCTCCCCTTCCCTGTGGCTTGACCGCATTTAAGTGCCCACTGGCAGGGACCCATGTGCGGGACAGTGAAGGTGCTAACCCAGCAGAACTCCTCAGTGCCCTGGGCCCCCGAATCTCACATCCTCTGTTACCTTTAGTTCTCATGACCTAAAAACCTTCTTTGGTTTGGAGAAGTTCCGCAGCTCCCCAGGGCCTGCAGTCAGGTGTGTGTGGTCCCTGGACAGGGGTCGGGCTAGTATAGGGCGAGGCTGTGGGACAGGAGATGTCCTTTTGGCATGAAGGGCGATGCCCCACCAAAGGATGATGGAGGGGATGGAACTTCCTCTGCGAGGTGGCCCCTGCTGGCTCTCCGAGCCTATTGCTACCGTCTGTCAGCAGAGGGATCTTCCCCAAACCGTCACCAGCAGCGGTGACCGTGCGGAAGCTCTGCTTTTGCTTGGGCCACAGGAAAGCTCTTCATAGTTGGCCCTCTGAGGGGAGCACACCAACACGAGCCCTGAGACTTGCGAGGGGTGGGCGGGAGAGTTGTGTGAGGCAGTGTCCTTCCCCTGTTCTGTCACCAGATCCTTAGTGATGACGGAGGACAGGTGAATAAACTTCCGTGTGCCTGAATGCTTTGGGGTTTTCTCTGTCCGTGTAGCATCGATCCCATACCGGAGTCCACCTTTCCTCAGTACCTTGACGTGCTGGCCCCTTATGTGAACCAAGTGAACCTCATCCGAGCGGGGGTCCCTAAAATCGTGAGTGGATTTCATTTTGCTCCTTTACCCTACTCGGAGGCCGGCGTGGGAAGCGGCCTGGTGTCCTCTGGGCTGTGTGAGAGTGATTCCAGTAGCAACCAAGACGGGAGTCGACGAGGGTGTTCACACCCCGCTAGGCTTCTTATTCCCCCCGTGTGTTTTTGCCCAAACCAACACAGACGTGCTCCCTCCTTCTCTTCTCCTCCCTCCCAGCCCCAAACAGAGCCTTTCCTAGTTCCTTTTAGGATTTTCAAATCGGATAAGATGTCAGTAAGAATTGTGGAAAGTCTCTTTTGTTCTTCACGTTTTCTAGAATTTTTCTGGTCCAGATTATCCCAGTATCCGACCTCCCATCCTCATCCTCAGTGTCAGCAAGTGGCCTGGGGTCAACGAGCAGCAGGTCTACCGTGAGTTTCAGAATCTCTGCAAGTTCGACGTCAGGCGCCTCACGCGAAGCCAGTTCCTGCTCCTGACCAACAAGTTCAAGGAGTACGTGGCTCGGCTCCGCGCCCGTCTCTCCCCCGAGTTTGCCTCATCGCCTCGCCGGCACCCGCGTCGAGCCTGACCGCGCAGTCGGTGCGGCCACGTCGCTCGGCTGACCTGAGCAAACTTCTCTTGGCAGCGTGCGGAGTACCCTGAAGGAGTACAGGAGCCACCCGACCCTGCAGGTCTCCCTGTATCGGTACTGGAAACACTCGCCAAACATCAACTGCCTGTTACAGTAAGTGACCAGGCTGAAGGCTGCTCCTGTGCTCGCGCTGGGGTCCGCTGGCGTCTGTCGGGCGTGGCGAACCGGATGCCATCCAGTAACATTCGACACGTGTTTACTGAGCACCTGCCGTGCTGGGTGCCATTGTAGGTTCCAGGGATTCATCACTGACTGAAACAAAAATCCCTGCTCTGTGGAGCTCACGTGCTAATGGGAGGTAACAAATGACAAACACATAGTAAACTAGTGGACCGTATGGTATATATCAGGTGACAAGTGTTTATTAAAAACAAGGGAAGGGGGTGGGGTGGGGCCCGGGGAGGTCACAGTTTAAAGGAGATGATGGGGGCCCATTAAAGGCTCTGTGAGCCCAGAAAGGCGATCTAGGGGACATTCAGGCAGGGGGCAGCAGGTCTGAGTCCTCGAGTCGGGAGGTGCTAGTGAGCAAAACAGCCACTGTGAGCAAAACCAACAAGGAGGGGATGAGGCGAGAGAGGGAACTGGGTCCCACCTAAGGTGGGCGGGCACCCAGGTGAGGACTGTGGGTTTCACTCTCAGGAGCAGTCGGATCGCTGGAGTCGTGTTTTCAAAGCATTGCTCCCTTCTGTGTTGAGATGGCCTGTAGAGGAAACAGGGCAGGGAGAGCAGTCGGGGCAGGTACACCAGCCAGGGCACAGAGCGGCCCAGCCCGGCAGCAGTGAGGGTGGCATCAGCGACAGACTGGCACGGGGTCGAATGTGAGTCCAGGATTCTCGGCCTGAGCAGCTGGAAAGATGGAGTTGTCAGTTAAGCTTTGTGAGGATTTGGCTTGCTGGTTAGGAGCCATGTCAGTTGGAAAACAGCATTGGTGAAGAAAAATGTTTCATTCCTGGGCAACCCTATTTTCTTCTGTCAACTTCTGATATATACCCCAGAGCCAGTCTAAGCCCAACAGACAGAAGTTCAGTGTTGGCACCAGGAGAATGATTGGAAGAAATAACACTTGAGTGAACGAAGTCGGGAGGAAAAAGCAGGACTAACCGGTGTCAGTTGCTCGTACACCTGCTGGGTTCACACGTGGGCCCTGGCCGCCTGACCAGTGTCATTGTCTTGCAGGGTCTGTGGCATAGTTACCACCTGGGCCCTCCTGGCGTTTATCCTGGGAAGATCCGGCCCCTGAGTGCAGCGAGGCCTCCTGCAGCTGCCCCTCGTCCACACCCTCGGGACAGCGTCCTGGGTTCTGTTTGTAAATCATATTCTGTTTGTACATGGATCTCTGTGGTCCTTACTGAAAATTCTGTTTTTGAAGGTGAAATTCTGTAAATGCTATCAACGATAAAGAAACCCTGGGCTATGATACCTGTGTGTGTGGCCAGAACTTTTCTTTCTGTTAATATAAACAACTAGTGAGCAGTCACCACCTCCAGGGATTTAAGTAAATGCTTCAGAGTGTCTCATGAACAAATCATTGTGACAGGAGCTGGATATCAAACGAACAAAAGGTGACATTATTTTTGGAAGAAAAACGAATGGCCAATAGGCTGGCGATTCAGGCCTGAGAAAGGGCCTTCGGCTTAGTAAAGGAAAGTGCGTCTGGGAAGAGGCAGTGTCATGCGCACTGGTGACGATTTTGGTAAGTATCTTATGAGCCATAAAATGCTCATTTTAGAAACAAAGTTACCCACAGCACCAGGGTATGATCAGATTCTGCTTCCTCTGCAGCTGTCTACACCGCACTCAGCTTTCTCGGTAGCTTTTCTCTGCCAGAGTCTGAACTTGACTGAGCTCTTTGCTCAGTTGACCGTGAGCTTCCCTGAGGTTTCTACAAAGCCAACTTAAATTCAGTTTGGAAGACATCTTTTCTCTAGAAAAACAGAAGCATTCATGGTGGCAGCTATCCAGACAGTTTCGGAGCTGTTTTTCCAGAAGTCACATGCCTGTTCTGAGGGGCGAGGGACACGGGGAACCCTACGAGACCCAGGGCACCATTGGGCTCTCCGGTGGCAGTGGGTGTTCTCATCTGCTCACACGGCGTCGTGGGGGGAACGTCGGGTTGTTTGGTTTTATTTCACTGAATGTAACTTTGAATAAGCTGAGACTTCTCTTCTTTTGTGGGCTCTGGGCCTGATCCCGTTTGGGTAAGCCCGACAGTAAGTAAGGCCACCTGCAAAGGGAACACGCTTCTCGGCCCAGTGCAGGAGGGACTGTCCTGGCTTCCTGGGGAGGAACAGCCCGAGCTCTGTGAGGGCTTCGCATAGTGCTGCCATGAGGCAGATGCCGGCAATTCTGTGAGACCTTGTTTGGAGGCCTTCTCTCTGCTCAGCACGTCTTTATCGGGCACCTGCTGCATGCCCTCAGTGGGTGCATGGCTCTGGGGGCAGTTTCTGTGTCTGCAGTGACCCAGGCTGCAGGCTGCCGCTGCGGGGGCCACCCCAGGGACGGTGACATGGGGCTGCACCATCCGAGGCGCTCCGGGACAGAGCCGGGTTCTGAGCAAGTTCATGTTGGCGTTGTGGGTCTGTGCTCACCCAAATACCGAAGGGTTCAGCCTGGTGCTCCTGCCCTCGGCCCCTCCCTGCGCTCCCCAGACAAACAAGTGGAGAAGCCAGCCACTCTTCCTCCTCCCCTCCCCTTGGCAGCCGCTCTGCTCTGGGCTCCCTAGCTGGCGTCTGAGCGCTGGTCTCCCTCGGTCTCCCTCGTGTGCGCCTACGCCGCTGCCTCGGCCTCACTCTGCTGCTCCCTCCGATGCCCCTCAGTCCCTCAGACGTTAGTGTTCAAGGTCTCGGCGCTCTCAGCTCTGGGCTAGTGCAACTCAAGTTCCTTCTCCAGCTAAGGTCCCTCCTGGGTCCCAGCCCACCCACCGAGCCTTTCCAGATCACCCCACAGACGCACCAGACTCCACACAGGCAGGACGGAACGTCTTTCCTCCCAAACCGCCTCGCAGGATGAAAGCAGTGACCGTTGCTGCAGCCGAAGCCTCCAGCCAGTCTCCCGCCTGCATGTTTGCCCTCGTCCAGCCTCCTCCCCGTCCAGCCTCCTCCACACCGTCTGGGACAGCACCAGCACTGCCGGCTCTGGCGGAGCCCTGCCTGCCTGTCCCCCTCAAGCTGTGGCCCTCACAGACATGAGTAGAGTCTGGGAGGCAAGTCTAGCCCTCTCTCCCCAGCCCATAGCCCTTTTGTGGATTCTGCACCAGATCCCAAGTCCTTGACCTTAGACTGGGGTCCTGCCGTCTTGTCCCAAGTGGCTGCCTGTCCTTGGGCTCACGGTTTGTTTTTCTTCCTCTTGGTTCTGCCTGCCTTACTCCACTGGCCCAGAGATGCAGCTCAATCGACATCTCTAGGTTCTAGGTCGTCGTCATCCTGCTGCACCTGTCAGGTGGCAGGGGCTCGTCCTGCCTCTGGCTGCCTCTCCCTTGCCCCTACTAGAACTCTTAGGGCCGTGCGGCCCCGGCACAGGCGGGCACTGGAGCTCTGGCCTTGGAAACTACAGGGGTTCTCAGTGTCCTCACAAGCCAGCGCTTCCTGGGGCTGGAACCTGGGTGCCGTGTTTTTAGAAAGGGGTTTGAGTCCTTTGCTGCTCAGGTGAAAGAACTGAAAGATGGTGTGGAGTCGTGGTTCCGCTTCTGCGGAAGGAAGGGATGAGTGGTGGCCCCCAAATTGCCCCAGCCCAGGGCGTTTCTCCTGGGCCTTGGGTCCTGATCATTTAGAAGTAACGTGACTCCCTGTCCTTGCTCTTAGAATTTTGATTCTTGTTTCTTTGTAGTTTAAACTATTTCCGTGAGATTTTTAGTACGAGAAACATTGTGACTAGAAATAGCAGTCATAAAATGATCTTAAAATTAGCTTAACTTCCGCTTTATATCCTTCTTCAAGTATTCACTTAGCTCAGGCCTCTATAACAAAAATACCATAGATTGAGTGGCTTAAACAATGGACGCTTGCTTCTCGTAGTTCTGGAGGCTGGGAAGGCTGTGATCCGAGTGCCACCTGATCTGGTCCCTGGTGAGGGCTGTCCTCCTGGCTCGGGGAGGACTGCCTTCTTGCTGTGTCCTCACGTGGCAGAGAGAGAGCGTCTCTCTCGCACCTCTTCTTACAAGGGCACTATCCATTCATGAGGGCTCCATCCTCATGACCTAATCACCCCCAAAGGCCCCACCTCCTCATACCATTATCTTGGGGGTTAGAATTTCAACATACAAGTTTTGGAGAGGCCAGGCATGGTTGCTCATACCTATAATCCCAGCACTTTGGGAGGCCAAGGTGGGAGGATCTCTTGAGGCCATGAGTTCGAGACCAGCCTGGGCAACATACTGAGTCCCCATCCCTAAAAAAAAAAAAAATTAGCCGGGTGTGGTGGCACATGCCTGTAGTCCTAGCTACTCAGGAGGCTGAGACAGGAGGATAGTGCTTAAGCCCAGGGATTCGAGGTTACAGTAAGCTATGATCACGCCACTGCATTCCAACCTGGATAACAGAGGGAGACCCTGTCTCTAAATAAACAAACAAATGTTGGAAACACAAACAGTCCATAGGAAGTACCTCTTTTCTCTAAAAGATGTAAAAGTTTATGTCTGTCATTGTTACTATAGAAGGCTTTTAATCTTTCTCTGTATCTCTTCAGCTCATGAGATAGCAGTAGTAATTTTCTTGGCATGAACTGTATGGTGGATGTTGTAAACTTTGGAATACTTTCTGACTAGGGAAAAAAACAAAGGCTGTTACTTTATAACCATTAAGCATCCTTGGTGTAATTTTCTGTAAGTTTATCTGAAAACCCAATGTAATCCTAATTAAAATCTCAGTTTTGTGGGGTTTTTTTGTGGTGGTGTCTTGCCAAAGTTAAAGAATTTATTTAGGAAAAAATAAACAGATAACAATCAGGAAACTTCTGAAAAAGAAAAATAACCAAGATGACTTGCTCCACCTGCCTTGTGGAAGGGCATTGATCAAAGCTGTGCGTTTTCTCATCATTAGGATTGGGATACTTCTTACAATCAGGGATATGTCATGACTCAATGGGTGTTTTCTTAATGTGCACAAAATGGTGCATCTTCTAATTGCATATTAGTGAAACTATGGTATAAAGTTTAATACGTTGTGGGACTAACCTGGTACTAGAATACAGGTACAGAAACAGACTGAGTACATGTGGGAATTTTGCTGTGATTAAAGATGGCATATTTGGAGTAAAGATGCATTGGACAATTTTAGGGAGTTAGCCATTTAGAAAAAATAAGGCCAATTTCTTACCTTAGTCCTTATACCAAAATAAATTGAAGATATAGATTAAGGTTAAAAAAGACAAACCATATAAATAATAGAAGGAAATGAAAAATATTCAATCTTGAGATGAAGGCCCTTCTAAGCATGAAACAGAAGCTTCAAGATGTAAATAAAAATGTCGATTTGATGCAACTGTATTTCATGACATCTAAGACGTAGTTCACTGGAAAGTGACCACATTTTGTGTTCCACTAAAAGGGAAAATGCTCCAGTGGAGGTCTTGCCCCTGATTCTAAGACACATCCTATCCTCAAAGATGTTAAAATGGAGGAAAAGTGTACTGTGGGATGTATAAAATGGAGAAAAATGTTTATTTACACAAAAGTAAATAAACACACCCAAAAATACTTTAAACATGGAAGTGAGCATTGTCACATTTAGTTACTTGGCAGAAGGGCGGTTTTGGCAAAAAGTAGCAGAACTTACATTTTCTTGCTGTTGCCGCCACAGTTCCCACTCTAGTTTTTTTTTAGTTTAAATTTATTTTTAAAACTTATTTTGATAGATTTGGGGGGTACAAGTGTTTTTTGTTGCATAGGTGAATTGTAGAGCGGTGAAGTCAGGACTTTCAGTGTACCTGTCACCCAAATAGTGTACATTGTGCCTGAAAGGTGGATTTCGATCCCACCTTTAGTTTCCAGTGTCCGTTATTCCACTCTGTGTGTCCGTGTGGACCAGCGTTTAGCTCCCACTTATAAGTGAGAACGTGAGGTATTTGTTTTTCCATCCCTGAGATACTTCACTTAAGATAATGTTCTCCGGGTCCATCCAGGTTGCTGCAAAGGACATTGTTTCATTCCTGTGTATGGCTGAGCAGTGCCCCCTGGTATACACATACCACGCTGTCTTCATCCACTCGTCAGTTGATAGGCACTTAGATTGATTCCCTATCTTTGCCATTGTGAATTATGCTGCGGTAAATATACAAGTACAGGTATCTTTTTGATATAATGACTCCTCTTCCTATGGGTAGATACCCAGTAATGGGATTGTTGGATCAAATGGTAGATCTACTTTTAGTGCTTTGAGGAATCTCCATACTGTTTTCCATAGA